AAAAAAAAAAAAAAAAGGGGGGGGGTCGGCCTAAATTTTTTGACCGAGCTTTTGCTCGATTTAGCTCGGGCAAAAAAAAAAAGCTTGAACCAATTTTACTCAAATCAAGCCCTAACTTCAAGTTTTAGCTTGTTGACACCCCTATATGGCATCTTATCAAATTTCAACAACATATAATTCAAATCCATTTGTACAATTACAGCTCACGTCTTCACTTGTCACAACGAAAATATAGTGCAAATTTTTAGAATGGTCCTTTAAGCGTTATTCTGATAATTTTAGTTGTTCAAACTAATTAACGTACAAAAATAGGTAAAGTTCAATTTTACATCACCCACAAAATGCCAAGATGGTTCATCGATGAATTCCCTTGCTATGAGCAAAAATAATTCCGAAGTTATTTTCACAAATGGACACTTAGATTTATTCAAATTTTAAGCTCGTTCTTTAAAATGTTTCATCTAACTCATTTAGTCACAAAAAAATAATCAAAGTCTTGAACTTTTTGTTAGTGAAAGTAACACATCAAATCTGACGTGGCGCCCTTTAAATGTTTGCATAGACGAGCGAGCGTTAAATACAAGCCGTCAAGCCCAATTATTTTTAATATTTCCTAAATTCATATTACATTTAACTCTAACCTTCACTCGATGGCACACTATCTTGCTCAAATAATTCTTTCACTCAAGAATAGGGCCCGGTCGGGCCAACCCTATTTGTTGCCACCCCTATTGATACCACTATAGCTCTTTAATTCATTTTTTGAGTTGATTAAAGCATTTTTAATGCAACAATATGTATATGTGAAAAATCAAATGAGAATGGAAATATACCATTAACTATAGAAATGATCTAATGTCCACGGTCAACGTGGATTATAATGCCCAGATTAGCTATATGGTCTATTTCATCGAAATTTTTAACATAAATTTTCGACCCGAACTTTTACATCCCATCATACTCTCTGATTATATTTATCTATTAATTAATAAATCATCATTAAAAACACCAGCAAACATCATTAATTGATCATGCGTCATAATTAAACCACCTACAAAATATACTAGCGGTTGGACTTAAAATGGAAATAATTCTAACGGGTCCAATTAATTATGTCGATCATTTCCTGATAAAGAAATAAGAACATGCAAAGATAAATTATTCAATGCATTTTTATTAAAAAAAAAAAACTCAACACTAAACAATTTTCATTAAAAATTACTATTATTTTAACATGAATTCAAAAGCTAAGCTTCTCTTTGTATTTCAGTTTTATGTTTTGAGTTTTGTATTTTGAGTGTCCATTTTGAGATTGTTGAAAATGTATTCTTTTTGGGATTTTGAAAAATTGTTTTAAAAAAAAAAAAAATTGGAAAACCCGTTTAAAACTTGATCGTGTTGCCTAATTATACTTTATGTTTTCTAAAAGGGTTATTAGTGTAAAACGTTCCTAAGGCAATAGTGGGCAGCCATGGGTAGAAACGGATTAGTCGGATTTGATAAATAACCCGAGCGGTTGCTCATGGTTTGGAAGCTGATTTTGATCTGAAATTGTGGCTGTTTGAATAATAATTTGGGTGGGATGTATTGAGGATGATACGCCGTCGGTGGAGGATGAAATTTCGGTGGTTTTGACGACAGCAAAGTGGTTGTTTTTGGAGGAATTGGTTGCGGCTCCGTACTTTTTGCTGGCAAATTATTAATGAAAACTGGTGGTGGTGGTGTTGAAGGAAAGAGAATTTTTTATTTTTGTTTTTTTCCTAGATTTTTAATAATTTATTTAGTATTCGTTTGCACTATTTAATAAAGTTTGGGACCACAATGAAAGGTTGAAATAAAGGGTGTAAATGTAAAAAAATACGTGATGATGTTTTATACAATGAACTTCATACGTGACGATTTTTAAAAGAGTGATGATATTCGTAGTGAAAACACGTGACGTTTTTATTGATTCATGCATTAAATCACAAATTGTCAGGAATATATCAAGCAGGAAAACTATTAAAATACAATAAACGTTCAATCACGTGAATTGTAAGCAAAACTTGGGCCTGGTGGAGTGGGCTTGGGGCCTTGGGTAATTGCTCTCAATAATTTCCTAACAATACTTTATGTTTTCTAAAAGGGTTATTAGTGTAAAACGTTCCTAAGGCAATAGTGGGCAGCCATGGATAGAAACGGATTAGTCAGATTTGATAAATAACCCGAGCGGTTCCTCATGGTTTGGAAGCTACTTTTGATCTGAAATTGTGGCTGTTTGAATAATAATTTAGGTGGGATGTATTGAGGATGATACGCCGTTGGTGGAGGATGAAATTTCGGTGGTTTTGACGGCAGCAAAGTGGTTGTTTTTGGAGGAATTGGTTGCGGCTCCGTACTTTTTGCTGGCAAATTATTAATGAAAACTGGTGGTGGTGGTGTTGAAGGAAAGAGAATTTTTTATTTTTGTTTTTTTCCTAAATTTTTAATAATTTATTTGGTATTCGTTTGCACTATTTAATAAAGTTTGGGACCACAATGAAAGGTTGAAATAAAGGGTGTAAATGTAAAAAAATACGTGATGATGTTTTATACAATGAACTTCATACGTGACCATTTTTAAAAGAGAGATGATATTCGTAGTGAAAACACGTGAAGTTTTTATTAATTCATGCATTAAATCACAAATTTTCAGAAATATATCGAGCAGGAAAACTATTAAAATACTATAAACGTTCAAATCAAGTTAGTGCACTTAACATTCGTTCGGACCAACTGTGGGTCATCTGTGTGTAACGGTTAAATAGGAGTGGGAATAATAAGGTGAAACTTGAAAGTGCGTGCCTCTATGTTCATCTAATGATTAACCAATCAGAAGCGGTCAAACCAATGTGGCCTCCACTTTTCTCCCGGATCACCACATGACCATTTCTTTCTATTCCCTCAAATTCTCCACGACTCTCTTCTTTTTCAATATCTAGTTATCTACTGCGTCTTTCCCTTTGGTATTTCATTATCCTTCTTGGATTCTTTAATTTAATAAAAAAAAAAATTTAGTTTACCCATTTGCGTTTCTTTAAATATAAAACAGATTCTTCTTGATTTTCTTTGCTTTTTCTTGATATCCGCGTTCCTTTTAGTTTCATCATTCTTTTTCGGAGAGAACTGAGAAGGAAGCAGAGGTCTTTTTAAGTACAATTTATTCTTCTGTTGAATGTACTGTAATTGTTGATGTCTTCGGCTGTTGGAGTGGCTTCAAGTTCCAAGAACATGGGGTTTGACGAAAATAAGGTTGATGACAAAGAGGGCGCCCCTGTTTCTGAAACCAATGTAAAAGGTTCGGATCATGCCGAACCTGTGGTGGAGCCTGAAACTGAGGATGAAGATGATGAAAATGTAGAAGGGAAAATACAGTTGGGTCCTAAGTGCACTCTCAAAGAGCTATCGGAGAAGGATAAGGTTCGTCTTTTCCTGGGAATGTCCATTTTTCTTTTTTTATTTCTGCTGATTTTCGGAAAATTTAATTTTAGGATGATGAGAGTTTGAGAAGGTGGAAAGAACAACTTCTTGGGAGTGTGGATATCAATTCTGCAGAAGGTACTCATTTTCTCATTAAAGTTTTTCATTGATATTGATCGATCGAAGATAAATAATAAAGAGATTATGTTATAGATTTCGAATAGTAGCTCTGATATTTGTGTTTTGACGTTGCTAACTCACTGTCGAATTATAGAAACTCTTGATCCAGAAGTTAAGATCTTGAACCTCGCAATAAAATCCCCCGGTAGGCCTGATATTTTTCTTCTAATCCCCGAGGCTGGAAACCCCAAAGGCCCGTGGTTTACATTGAAAGAGGGAAGTCGATACAGCCTTAAATTCACTTTCCAGGTTAGCAACAACATTGTATCAGGCCTCAAGTACAAGAACACGGTTTGGAAATCTGGCATCAAAGGTTGTTTACCTACTAGTTTTGTATGGTAATCCGTTAATATCCAACAATCAGATATTTTGAGTTTCTCATGACTAAAATTCTTTGTTTGCAAAAATCTTGTCATCAGTTGACAGCACAAGAGAAATGATCGGAACATTCAGTCCTCAGTCTGAGCCTTACACTCATGAAATGCCGGAACTCTACTGCGGTAGACCGTAAAAACTGAGAGGATCATATTCAGCTAAAACACAGGTAAATATTACCTTTTTCCCTATCTTTTCCATATACATCGCATTTACTTTGCTTCAGCAGACGATTAACAAATGAGACCTTTTCACGTGTTACGATTTCTCATCTAAATACTGAGGGATGGTGCCTCTTAATTGTTCTGGGTAAGGAATAGACCCAGATATGAATTCTCTTCACCTGTAAACGAATTCCTAGAATTTTAGGGGGGACGAAGAACTGTAATTCTTTCTACTTGTAGTCCAAACTCATTAGGATGTGAAAAAATCTCTCTTTTCCTCGCACTTTTCTTCATTTAACATATGCCAAAATAGCATATTAATATCCTTGATCTCTCCTCTTTCCTCCTTACAGTTCCTTGACGACGATAACAGGTGTTACATGGGGATGACTTATACATTTGACATCAGGAAAGAGTGGCAATCCAAAAAATGAGACTCAATGTTCGGAGTGTTGTTTTTTTGTTTCAAGTTTTTATGTCAATCGGTTGTGATTTGCATTGTGAAGATGATTGAAGACAATGGTAAGAGATAACAAAGATTCTTGCATAAGATTGATTATTAAGACAAGGAAAATCGGTAATTGTAACAGTTTTTTTGGAAGTGTCATGCTATTCTGTCCTGTTTAAAAGTTTGGCTGCTATCATTTGCTTTGCTTTGCTCTTGTTCTTGCCTTATCTTTTTCTTCTCTCTTTTGCTCGATCAACAGAAGCCTTGGCTGTGGGCAGAGGCCCAGGAAATGCTTATAGTCCTGTACAAACAAGAACCCTCAGCAAATATATATCCCCACACCCATCATATCAGCAATCTCCATAGTGTGTTTGGCTCAAACTATATGGGCATTTTATTTCAAGCTATATACGTACAGGGTTTGTGCTGCTAATTTGATCATGTTGGAAAAATTTCTAGTACTCTTCAAACGTGCAGGACTCCCAACCGTATTTTAATTTACACGTATATTAAATAGTTGGAACCCACTATGTAATTGAGATTCAGACATTGATGAATAACAATAATGCTATGTGTACATCCAAGGTTGACACCCCTCGCACATAGGGGTGGGATCCGTGCGTAATATAATATTCACGACCCCCCATGTGAGGAGGGTGTCATCCAGGATTGACGTACACATAGCATGATTGGTTGAATAATGCACACGTCAATTGACAGTGACAGAGAGTACTGAGTCCAATAATTCGAGAGTACTTAAATTTTTCTCAATCATGTTACTCCTTCCTCATAGCGATAGCATGAAATTCTTTTTCTTTGTAGTTGTTAACTAAAAATGACAATTAATGTCCAATCATGGATAGTGTACGTGCCACACAAAGGCGAGTTGGTTAAAATCATTCATCATTCTAGAACTCTTTTATAGTCCTAACCATCAAAAATAGTGGGTCCCTTTTTAACCATCGATATTTTCGGTTATCGTACAATTCGTTTAAATATAATTTATACATTGATTTATAAATTCAGTCAAAAATTAATTTGAAATTGGAGGAAGTTGGTAAACCACAGAAGTGACTACCGTAATATGAATAGTACGTACCAAACTAAAATTGTTTTGAATTTCTACTCTCATCGATTGTACATAGAAACCTGACCTGAACTTAGCCATGAATTCAACAAGAGAACTGTGAATTTTCTTTTCATTTGTAGGTGGTTAAAAGATCGAATTTAATCGTGATGCTATCCAGTAGTCATTCAAATGCATCCATCCGTAAACAAGGTCACATACGACTCGAGAACATAGATTTTCCCATAAATACATATGTATCCAATAACTTGTATGATAATGAATATAGACAAATTTTAAGTTCAATGAACTTGGCCAACCCAGTTAGTTTACATTGTCGTGTCTCTGCATCAACAAAAGTTTAAAGATTAATTTGCTCATTTTTAAAGATTAAATACCGACTTGCTACTCGACCGATAAGATATAAACAAATGTACGTTCATGAATATTCAATAGTTGCATGATCTAACTATTTTCTTTATTTCGTGGTTTCCATACTCCAATTGTGACAAAATTGTATACTTTATTTTGTCTTTGTGAGGGCTCTTATGCTAAAAACCACGCCCCGTTGCTTCGAACTGGACAGTGAAATTATTACTTTACTGGTTTGGATTAACTTACCCGGGTTGCCACTTGATTTGTGGACCTCGAACGCCTTAAGTACGATTGCTTCTAGGGTGGGGTAGCCTATCTCGACCGATAAATTAACATCAACTAAGGAAAGACTTTCATATGCAAGAGTTTTGGTGGAGGTTGATGTATCAAAGGAGTTAGTGCGAACAATTCACATGAAGTTACCTACGGGAAGTCAAGGGACCAAGAGGTCGTCTACTAACATGTTCCGAAGTTTTGTGCTATGTGCAAGATGTTTGGGCATTCGACAGCCGGATGCAATCTACAAAAGCAGCCTGCGGGTAGTAAAGAGGCCGGCCCTAGTAAAACAGGGAAGAATGATGATCATGCACATGTCGTCACTGCTGAAATTCAGCAGAACACGGCTAACGCACAAGACGCCACTGCTTGAATTGGAAAGCACACGGTTGCTGCCAAAGCAGCTGGGAAAGTAGTTGGCGTGGAAAATAGTGAAGGCCAGCAAGAGGTTCATGGTGATGCTGAGGAGGATCCGTTCATTGTAGTGTTCAGAAATAAGAAATGGACCAGCAACCAAAATGGGCAGATTAGCGAAAGGCAAAAAACGGTGGCCGCAAACAACGAAGTAAACAGGTCAAATGAGTAACTTTAGGGAAAATTGGATGAATTACTTGATGTTTTCAGAGATTTGGAGGCGAAAGTCAACCAAGCAAAGCTAACTCGGATCAAGGGGAATAAATTTAATGGATGGAGGCAAGTGGATAATTTTTTCTCGCATCCGGCTGGGAGGATTTTAGTACTATGGGATCCAACGAAAGTTGATCTTCAAGTTTTGGAAGCTACTCCTCAAGTGATACATTGCAATGTGACTTGTAAGGTAACTTCCATCGCAACTTGTACAAGTTTTGTTTATGCATTTCATTCTATTGTTACTCGGAGACCTCTTTGGAGTAATATTGTAGATTTTGGGAGATTTCAACAATGTCCTAAAATATGATGAATGATGTAATAGGGAAGATGTTAATGCGTATGATTGTTGTTTGAACACGGATCTTTCGGATTTGAGGTCCATTGGTTGCTTTTTTACGTGGAATAAGATTGATAGAGCCATGGTGAATGAAACGTGGTTACAAGCGGGTTTTCATACCACAGCGGATTTTCAGCCGTCGGGATGCTTGTCGGATCATTCGCCTTGCATTGTGTCACTTTTCCAACAAGATGTGGTCAAAGGCAAGCACTTCAATTTTTTTTTTAACATGTGGGCAGATCACTCAGAATTTCAAACTCGGGTTGCTACTAGCTGGGATCTGCAGGTTCATGGCACTAAACAGTACATTCTTTGCAAGAAACTTCAACGGTTGAAGGGAGTTTTGAAGGAACTCAATCGTAGGGGGGTTGCACCTATTACGGCTTGGGCTGAGAGGGCAAAGACTGTCCTTAAGGCTGCCCAATTGTAGCTGCAAGAGCAGCAGCCTTATAATGTTGGATTGCAAAGTATGGTTTGCACTTGGTGACCAACTATTGTTTATGAGTTATTTAAAAAATATTTTGTAGTATCCATTTCTACATCCAATGGGCCTGTGCAATCCATTCATGTGAGTTGCTCAATAAATTTTATATGTTAATTTTTTTTAGTGGAAATTACACAATACAAGAGTTTTCAAAATTCAATTTCAAATTTCAGATATAAAGTTTCACTTTTCAAAAATCAGATATTTTATTTTTAAATATTAATTATACAATAATCAATTTCATTTAAAAGAGACAAAACCCTAAAATTTTCTCATCTTCTCATTTTCATTCTCTTTCTTCACTCTCTGTCTTCTCTCTATCCTCTTTGTCTTCTCACTGGCGACTCTGTGTGACGGAGGCAGGTGGCTAGCGCTGAGATTTGACAGAGAGATGGAAATCAAGCAGATTATTGTTCTTGGACAGGCTGAGATTAGACTACAGATTATTGCAAATCCACGTTGGAGATCTCTGTCATAGGCGGCCATTTTATCTCTCGTTTTTTTGGTTGTATTTGCGGTTGTTGGTGGAAGCTGTGGTGGCACTGATTTTGGCGGTTGTTGGTGGTGGCAGCGACGGCGGTGATGTTCGTCGTGGTGGTGGTGGTGGTGTGGCATCGCGGTTGTTGTGGTAGTTGTGGTGCGGTGTCGCGGTTGTTGTCATGGTTGGAGTGCGGTGTCGCGATTTGGGTTTTTTTAGTGGGGTTTGGCAATCTATGGTGTATGTGTGATGATCTATGCGAGTTCTGTGTGTGGAAGTTGATTATGTGTGGTGGTGGTGGTGGTTCGTTGGAGTAGTGGTGCTGGCTGAGATGGTAAAGTGGGGATGGGGTGGTGCAGGTGGGGGTGTTTGTGTCCAAGATTGATCGTGTCAGTGTTGATTTTTGATAGCAGGTGGGGGTGTTTGTGTCCAAGATTGATCGTGTCAGTGTTGATTTTTGATAGGTGGGGGTGTTTGTGTCCAAGATTGATCGTGACAGTGTTGATTTTTGTTTGTTCCGTTTGTTGGTGGTGGTGATGTCGATGTCAGTGGTGGTTGCTGATTGATGGGTGATCATCGCAATATCAATGGTGGTGTGGTTGTTATTGTGGATTTGATTTGTTGCTTTTTTAATCTATAAATTATGACTAATAAATAATATGTGACCTAAAAATTTGAATTTGTGACTTATGAAATTTGTAATTTGTGACTGATAAATGAATTGTGATTTATAAAATTTTTGATTTGTGACCGATAAATGAATTTGTAGTATACAATTGCGACCAAGTTGTGATGTTTAAATTTTTTTATTTGTGATCGATAAACAAATTGTGACTTATAGAATTTCTGAATTATGTCCGTAAAATAATTTATGACCTATAAAATTTCTGAGTTGTGATGGTAAAATAATTTGTAAATTATAAAATTTTTAATTTGTGATCGATAAACAAATTGTGACACATAAATTTTTTGAATTGTGACTATAAAATAATTTGTGACGTTTCAATTTTTGATTTGTAACCGATAAATAAATTGTGACCTACAATTTTTTTATTGTGATCGTAAAATAATTTGTGACATAAAATTTGTGATTTGTGACCAATTATATGAAATTTATGACCAAATTATATAGAATTGTGACTTTAATGTATTTAATTAATAAAAAAATATATTTAATTTATTAATTTATTAAAAAAAACTCTGAAATTTGAAATTTTAAAATATTTTGAATTTGAAATGTGTAAAACTAAACTTTTTAATTATGAAAATTTCCCCCTTTTTTTATTTAATCAATATTTTACAAAATAAAAATAAAATTTTCACCTATTAAAAAGATTCAGAGAAATGATGTATGCACCTATAGACGCACACTGCTGGAAAGTCAAGGCAGTGAGCCTGGAAAGTGCAATCAATGGTAATTCATTGATTGATTTCAGAGAATGGTCTCTTAAAACGGCTAAATCCTATGTCGTTTCATTCTTCTTCCATTCTCCTACACATACCCAATCAAATTGATCCAAAATAAAATCTGGAGAAAAATGTGAGAAGTTCGGTAAGCAGATTTGTCGATGAAAAGAAACAACAACCGGCCAGTAAACTTCTAAATTTTTTTTGCTATGGCTACAGCCACATTGGCAGATCAAGAACAAAGGGTATTCAATATGTAACCCTTTCTTGGAGTACATGTAGCCCCGTTTATTAACATAAAAAGAGAGAGGGAAAGAGAGAAATTTATAATCAAATCAAATGAAACTCACCTATAGATTTGGATTTGTAGTTATAAAATGAATGAAGAACAATGCCGCGGCAGAAATTGAAAGAGTATAGATGAAAATCTTAGCAAATGGCGGCTGGTTTATATAATGTTAGGGTTTTCATTCACTACTGGGCCGTATCCAGGCTTCATCGTCACTCTGAACGGGCAAGCCTAAACCTTTTATTTTCATTTTACGGAAAATTGATAAATTTTGAGATATGGCGATTGACGACTGTGTTTGGTGTGCTTAAAAATCAATTTTTTTCGTAATTATTGATGAAAGTTGATAAAATATATGATTAAAAATTGTGGATCCTGTGAATTGAAATTAATTGTTGATTTTGACTTAATTTTTTATCAATATTTTAATCTACACCAAACAAGGACAACATAAGGATATATTTGTGCCACATTATTTTGGAAGAATGTATTTTGGAATAGTAAATTGATGGAGAACGTGTGGTTGAAAAAGAAGGAAAAGTTATTGATGTGATGGAAAATATTATTTTATTGAAAAATGTATGATTGAAAATGAATAGAAGATTGAGAATAAAAATTTTAATATGGTTCAAACAGGGGCTAAATTAAAAAATTTGCATTATGGGGGTGTTTGAACCCCGTTATTTTTAAGAATGTATTTTAAAATAATAAATTGATGGATAATGTGTGATTAAAAATGAATGATTTTTTTTTATTTGCGTGTAATATTATTTTAATGAATAATGAATGGTTCAAAAGAAGAGTGAGAAAAATGTATTTGGGAAAAAAAAATGAAAATCAAAGATAAAATCATGTAACAAATGTGATTTGTCCAAGATTGTAATTTGTTTCATCGAAATTTATTCCTAAACATTTTAGTGATTTACTTGGTTCCTATTTTATACAATTGAACAAAAAATATAAGTTATATGTGAAATTGAATTGGTAGTTATTGAAAGTTGTCGTTTGAATATTGAAATAATACAGCACCTGTTTGGTGGCAATTTCCATCCACATTTTAATGAAATATTGGACCGTTAGCTATCATAATTGTTGCCTTCATTCACACTACAAGCGAGACATAGGATCCACTAGTTGCAAAATTGAATTTTAATTGTACAAATAGTAGAGCCAGATAGAAGCACAATATACTCATAGTGATCTAACATATGACAACTCGAACGACCTTTAGTTGTAAGTTGTGAATTCTTTTATAACTATTGTTTCAAAAATGATAGTACGTTGTGAGTGTTGTTGTGTGATCGTGGTTCTTCTTTCCTGTTACATTAGAAGAAAAAAAATTCTTGTGACCCTAATTAAAAAGTTGTGACATCTACTGCGTGGCTTCGTGGACAAAAATATCATTACACTGTCGGGGATGAACCCAACTCTATAAAGTATATTTCAATGAGGACCATGTGATAATTCAAAGGGGGTTTAGACCATTACACCGTGGGGGATGAATGCAATTATGATAAAAGGTTGGTGACTGAAATTTCTTTTTCTTTATTTGAAAGTAAAAAAATCAACTTGCTATAAAGACAATAGCTTGGAGAGTCGGAGACCATTGGTGCAAGCAATTGTTTCTTTTATTTTCTACTTTCGAAATAATTGCACAATTTAAAAACGTACTAACTCGCATCAAGGGGGAGCACGAGATAACACCTATGAACACGTCTTTTAGAGAGAGAGAATTCTACGTACGACTCGCGTCTGATCATCTCTGAAGGATATAAAACAGCCGGTCGTCGCCGCCGCAAATTCGGACTTTCTTAAACAATGGAGGGAGTAGGAGCCAGACTCGGGAGGTCCTCTACTCGGTACGGGCCAACCACCGTCTTCACTGGGCCGGTCCGCAAGTGGAAGAAGAAGTGGGTCCACGCGTCGTCGTCCAATTCCAGCAACCTCCACCATCAAACCGCAAACGGAAACGCTAATGGTTCCTCACATCTCCTGTTCTACAAGTGGACGGCGATAACGCCCAGCCAAAACAAAGACAATAACGGTGGTGATAGTAACAATGTCCATAATAATATTAGTAATAACGGCGACTCAAAAAATTCCGACAAAGACGACGCCCTTGCGGTAGAGGAGCCACCCAAGCGTAAATTTAAGTATATTCCGGTACTTCTCTGCAAATTTAACTTCTCATTTTGTGTGTTTATGCATGTTAGGGTTGGCTGTAGGTTTGTTAACGTCGACTGTAAGCAGTTCGGTAATTGAATTGGGTTGGGGATCCTTGAAAATTTTGTCTTACGTGAACTGTGGTATTGAGTTCTTGAACCAGAAATTTGAAATTTTGGATATTGAAAACTGTCTAGGTTTCTTTTTAAAATATAGAAGTTCGAAATTTCAGAGTTGAAAAAAAATTATAATCATTTGACTGGTGCAATTGGAAAGTGTGAACTTGGCTCCAAGAAATTGAAAATCTTTTGACTTTGAAAAGTACGGGTGTGAGATGAAACCTAATTTTCATCAAGGTCCTGGTAGAAAATTTAAATTTAAGGGCGAAATGGTAAAGAACTTAGATATTTAGGGGGAAAAGTGTGTCCCACACCACACCAAACCAAAAAAGAAAAGAAATGAAAATGGTGTGTAGGGTTCATTTGCAATTAGAGAGCAAATATAATTGGTTAGATGTGTGGCTTTGATTAATGTAGGATAAATTCTCCGCGTCTCTTTCTTGATAACTTGAGTGGCATTATGTGATTTATATTCATATCATTGGATTTTTGTGGGAGTTTTTAGTTTGTAATGATATACAGAGGAAAATCTAGTTCTTGAAATTTTGAGAAATATATCTGCTACATAGACTAGCTTGCTTCTTTAAAGTAGTGACCAAGTCGTCTTCATTTGTGACTCCTTATTATCCTAGTTTTGCTTTGCATTATTAATTGGTATCAGCTGAGAAACTCTCATTCCAACTTCGTGGACCGGTTTTGTTTTTTCTTCATAACCATGGGGTCGTAGATCTCGAGAGAGAGTTGAGGGGAGAGAGAAGCTTGATGTTTCTCCTTGTGGACTTATGACTCAAAGAAATAATCTGTTTTGGTGTTTGTAATAGAAGTATAATACAAATTTGCATTTTAACATTGCTCCACGTTCTAAATATAATGCCTAAATCATTTCGGTTATTGGCCTGAAGTTTCTGAAAATCCCAAATTGGTCTGTTAAGCTTCAATAAACCTTTTTCTCTTATTTATGAACTTGTTTAGAGATGGACTAAAGTGCAACTGAGCGAATTATGGAGTAGTGTGTGATCAAACTGAAACTTCTATGACTAAATTGAAATTGGAATGTGCTGGATAATTACAAAAATGTTCTTTCTTGTTAGTATATGAACAAGATGCATTTCATCACTTCTGCTGCAAATTATTCATTGACCCATGAATGCTGCTCTCCAAAATTTTCCCTACATTTTTTAATCCGTTTGAATTGGACTGATCTCGTGTTTGATATTTGACCTTATTTCCCTATGTATGTAGATATGTAGGCATGGCAAAATCTGAGCACTCTGCAGTGGCCGTAAACTATTTGTATTCATCATTTATGTATACGTGAGGGCCCCACTCAAATGAAGGAACAGAAAGTATAGGCAAAGTGAAAGAAAAGAAATAGATTGGATGGACTTTCTTAAAACGATTCAGTTAAAGATTATCGCACTTGTAGGAAGTGGCACGATAACTTTATTGACTTTCGTCAGTGTCTCATGTTACCAAGTTATATCTTTGAATCTAAATGTCCTCATTTCACTAATGGGCTTACTTTGATTTGCGTGATTGTGTAGATGCTTCTTAACTCAAATCTTACTTTCTTTGTATTTGAGATTTTCTAATACATGCTATGAATGTGCAATTTTAAAGTCTCGTCTTCATGATTGGTTTGTTTTCTTGACATCTTTCCATGTTGTTGCTTTTGATTTTGTTGATTTTCAATCAATTTCAATGCTAAATTAGCAGAATGACAGTGGGATTGTTAAACCTAGTATTGAATATAAGAAGACGGACAGCTTGAATCCTCGAAAGTACAAAGTTAATTATTTTTAGATTTGTGACTTTAAGACGATACTTTGTTACATCCTTTCCTACATCAACATATGGAAATAATCTTTAGAAAATGACAAAAAAAACCTAGAAAATTCCTTTTGTTCTTTGCATTAGGTGCTCTGTACTGTGATTTTGCTGAGGATGGTTCCACTAATTGAGTAATGTTTAATCCTTTTTTTTTTTTTTTTTTGGTACTATTGGAATAGATTGCTGTGCTGGAGGAACAAAAGAATGAGTTGTCAGAACAAGATGAAGATGAAGCTCAACCAATTGAGTTTGACACAAACGCAGAAGAGGTAACCTCTAAGAGTGACGGGTTTGATGAAAAGCCAGACATCAATGATGTCCCTATGGATGAAAATAAGGTGTGTCATCTGCACCTTATCCCGTGTTCTGTTTTTGTTGACGTATTTTCAGTCTTACAGTAGAAGAGTTCCAAAAGCCCAACTTCTTCAATATAGAGAGCAAATTATCATTTTAAAGAATGGAAGCAACACTTTTCCTTCATATAATTAGTCCTCCTGGCCTATTCTCCATGCTTTGAAATTCGAGCACAGCCACTGTTAGTTGACTTCATTGATCTCTTTCATTGTATGTAATATCAATCTGACTGTTCGAGAAGTTTTGATGCATTTTATTTACGATATTATTCTTATTGATCGAACTTTCTTCTCAGTCCACGGAGAATAGTCCCAAAGAACGGCAAGATTTGAATGAAATCACCACATTTGGCTTGAACGAGAATGATGGTGATAATAAATCCGAAAAGACAGCCACAACCAGTTTGAAAGAGTGAACTCTAGTACTACAGGGACTTGATGTATTGTGACTTTTATTTATAGCTTCAAGCGGCAGCTTATTATTATGCATGGGAACCCGGTAACAACGGTTGTGCATTATCAGAGGCGCAATTGATATTTTTGTACCGTGGGGTAATCGATTTAACAAATTGGAGTTGGATATCTTTTATATTGGAAACATTGAGATGAAATTTGCCCATAATGAAATTGACTTAAAATTTCCACATTTTGAACTGGCAATATTCCTGTATATAATTGATGTTTGTTTTTCTCTGTAACTTATATTAAGTTCATACATGAGGACGTAATGTTCAATTGGTATTGACATTTAAATTAGAATATTCATATTATCGCCATCATGAAGACGTTCTCTTATTCAAGATAAGCAGTTACAAATGTTGATAATGTGAACGGAAATCGAAGGGGAAAAAAAGAAGATAACGTTTAAGGGCATGCTTAAGTGACATGTCCACCAGGTGAATTTCACAGTAGCCTACTCGGGCCATCAAAAGAGGAGTTACATCATCATTCTTTAGCCACTGCAGCTTGTTCTTCACTAAAGTAGTCGTGCCTGGTAACATAAACCAGGCAATTTTAAGAATATCATCACACACCACATTGATCCAGAATGGTATTAAAACATGAACGAGTAAACAAGCAATACTTCGGTTTCCACTTTCAACACCACTGATATGTAAAGAAATTGTAGTCAGTGCTTGCCCACGACAAACTTACCGAATTTTTCGTGTAAGTTGGTAGATGCCAGTAGCAGCCATTGCAACATTCACACTAAAAAGGTTCCAGTTTTTCTGCAGTTGATAATCCATAATACCAAAGTCATAGAAAGAAAATTGTAAGAGATCTTTGAAGAACTAAACAACTGAACCGTGAATACAAGAAAAAAAAATAGGGTATAAAGCAGTAGAGAGAAATCACTTCACTGCCACATCTAGATCTTTGAAGAACTAAACAACTGAACTATGAATACAAGGAAACAAGATAGGGTATAAAGCAGTAGAGAGAAATCACTTCACTGCCACATCTATACATGCATGTGCGCTTTGGTGCTTCTGCATATACCTTTAAGTGAACGTATGGCATAGATCTTTTTCATATTATTGTTTAGCGCTATCCATCCTTGAGACCATACATGCCTTGAATGTTAAACCTTGTAATATAAAGAAAACATTGCAAACATGCATGCTTTGCACGATCATAAAACTACTAGTCTACTACCATGTACTACTTGCTGTCTCTATTTTCCCTGACCACTTATCCTTTACCTAGAAAGAGTAAAGTCATTAGCACAGGGTGAAGATCACAGATTTAAGAAGGACAAGGCAGATACCTAAAAAGACCTCATTGCTTCCCGCAGATGTTCATCACGCAGAAAGATCTAATAGGAAGCAAGTGACCAGAAAGGCTAAATAATAGACTCACCCCTAGACAAATGGGCAGAAGGAGATCAGTTCAAGAATTTCTTTGAAATGTACATGACAAGACATACACCTCAATCTCATTGCCAGATATAACTTCATAGAAATTTCCTTCTCACCAAGATTTTGCTTCTTCCCAAGGAAATTTCAGAAAAAGAAAATAAATAAATGTAGAGACGCGAATACTTTCCAAAATCATAAAGCCACTAACATGTCAAGGGTCTGTCATTTGGTTCATTCTCCCCAGGCTATCCCACCAATGAGCTTAAATGCTATACCTTAACAGAAATTTTCTTCTTCTAAGTTTGTGCTTTTTCCTGTGGAATTTCAGAAAATAATGTCAAGGTATGCACTTTTCTTCCTTCTCTGAATTTTTTACTTTCCCAAAAATCAACCTATCCGTTAGGAAAATATACCTTCCATTTGAATAAACCTACTCGTGAAATTGAATCCCCCAACTCTTTAAATAGAGATGTATGGTGTCTATAAATATTAAATATTAGCTTCAGACACTCTGATCTGGCGATAACAAGAGCGCCCAGTAGGGTTCTTACAGCCTCTGGCCATTCCAAAGTAGGCTACTAAGCACGTGTCATATATTATAAGTTCAATTTGGATGGCTCTGTTTGTTAGGAAACTTGGCTCGCGGAACCTGGTGAAATGAATTCACCATTCTTCATTAGTTTCCTTCTTGAGGTCATCAAGAGGAGGAGGATCCACATACTAAGGACGCAACAGAAAAAAAGAACAAAAAAAGTCATTGTCAAAGGAAAGGAAAATGAATTAGCTACTGTTGGACCTTTTTTTGTAATCTCAAATACAGATATCAGCTGAGCTTTCTGAATCATACTTCGTATTTGATGGGCTAAGAGCGAAGGAAATGAAAGTGTACACGAAGTACAATTTTTAATTAAGGCGAGGATGAGGAAAGACACCAAATTGTATGGATCTCATCTCAGCTTCCTCAAGAAAATGTTATACAATCAAAAATATCTTTCGCATTCTGCTTCAGTCGACTATATTAAGTAGTATTCCGTTAGGACATGTGAAGACTTTATCTGATCTGAACAAGATAATCCACAGAGACATGAAAGATATTACATGAGATGCAACTAGAAGCTACAAGCCAGAGAAAAAGGTTATACGTGATAATAGAGAGGGAGACATAAGCTATCCATTTAAATTATGTAACTTGGTAACCTGGAAAATTTGCTAAAGGTAAGTAACTTAATATGATCTCCACAACATTATAATCTCATCTCAGTAGCCAAATTCAGATTATTATTTACTGCATTGCAGTTTTCCATTCCAAGTTTAGGGTTTTCTCGATTAGAAATTCTAATCAACGAACAAAAAGTAATGGATAAATATCAAATAAAGGGGGCTCAATATGCTAACTGGAAAGAGTGTAATATTCAGGTTTTTGGGAATAAGTTGCAGCATTGTCTAATTATCCAATGAAAAGACTGTGCGTTGAAGAAGAGAAAGTAGCAATGAACTTTTATCCCTGAAGAATATGTAAATGTGATGAGAATCTAGCAAACATAGGGTTATCACATAATATATTTACATAAAACTTGTAATGCCAAGACTCATGTGCTTTATCAACATTTGAACTTACAGGAGTAATCACAGTGCTGTAGCGTGACCAGATAACTCCAGTGGCTGTAACAGCTGCAGATGCATGACCATATCAAGTAAAAAAAAATTTGGTTCTACAATCAACATAACTAAGAGGAAAAAATAAGTAGTTGGGCCAAAAATAATTTTTGAAAAAGACTTATTTAACATAGAGACATATGAAAATACAGCCAAAACGCAAACAATTATCAATCCTATTTTGCGTGCACAGGAGATGGACCCAAATGGATATAAAGAGTACAAAAAATCATCACATGGAGATACCTATCTGTTGTGGATACGAAACTTTCTCAGGTGGTTTAGTGGAGTCGGCAATATTGGCTATGCTAATGCCCCACTTGAATGTTGGCGCCCAGAAATGAACTATTACATAACAATTAACCCAAGAGTGAGATGTAAACAAATAAATGTCCAACATCAATACGACCATAAATAACTTCAGAATGAATCCATATGAGAAAAGAAACAAAACAATGGATTCAATTTCAGCTATATGATTTATATTCAATTTCATTAAAAGACCATAGATTAATTTCAGATCTGATATCAAATTAAACGTTGTAAATTGAAGAAAAAATTAAGAAGACGCAATATTAACTTGTAAATTATAACAGCTTAAGAATTTTACAGCTAGCTCATTCTGATTGCATATTATCTAGCTTGCCAAAGTCTAAATTATTTGGAATGTCATTAGAAAGTTCCATATTATTCCATATACTTTTGCAATTTTCACTGGATACTATTTACTCTAAATGATAACAATAAGAAGAATTTTTAATTCCTAAAATTATATATTTTTGTCGAACAAAAGATGAAAAGATCAGTCAACCAATAGAAGCCAAGATCAGTAAAGAAAATGCTTTCCTGATTTCTCACTCTATTTCTTTTCCTTGTTTTATTCTCTTCAAAAATGTATCCAATTGAATAATTAGAACATTATTATTCATCATTATATACTTGACAATTCATCCTAATTGTTTCATTCTTCACTTTCTAACGTCCTACCAATTATTCTCTATTCAAAAAAATTTTAGACTAAACTGCTAAAATCCCTTAAAAACTCAACAGCACCACCAATTTCCCAAATTCAAGAAATTTCTGAGCAAAAGAAAAATAAAAACAAAATCAAAAAACAAAAAATCAATCTTTTTTATCCCAATTTAGAATGGGGAAAAATCCACAAACAAATAGAAAAAGTCATGTCCGCTGAAAATTAAGATAAAGGAAAACTAAAAATTTCCAAGATTAACCAAATTCGATTATAGAGTTTATGAATAAATCATTGAATTGGATCTAAATCTAAGAAAATTAATAAGTGGCATTGCAAGTTCATCTAATCATCAAGCGAGAATTTCATATCAACTATCATCACATATAACATATATGTATTAAATGGTAGAGAAAGAACTGACTAGTTTTAGGGCCAGCAGGGTGATTCCACAGAGCTTGAAATTTCGAGGTCGCCATTATATCTCTCTCCACCCACCCACCCTCTCTCTCTCTCTCTCTCTCTCTCTCTCTCTCTGTATTTCCGAAGATGCAAATGAGCTGCGTCAAAAGAATACTGCTTTAACAATTCCATTTATTTACTCTCTCCGTCCCCGTATATACTGGTTGAGATTTCCTTATTTTCTTGTCCATAGTTCTTTCTTCTTTTTTTTTTTTTTAATCGAGAATATTTTATTTTATCTAGTTATAACCAAATTTGCTACTAGTTATTATTGATAATTAAATAAATATAAACTAAAATTTTTTTTTTGCGAAAATTACTTTTTCAATAACGTTAAATAAGATTTCTTAATCAATTCGTGTGAAAAACAAAATCAATATTTCTCTGCTAAATTGCAGATTTCATACCTAACCTTTTTCGAAAGTATCAATCTCGTCCCCATTCTTTTTTTGTTTTGCTAG